TTATAAATATATATATATATATATATATACATACAGACAAACACAGTGGTATGTTTTTATGTTTGTTTTATATTTATTACAGGATATGGAGGACGGAATGCAAATATTATTCCAGTACCCATTCTCCTCAGCTATGATGCGTATGTCTGTCATTACTACAGTCACAGGAAAGGAGGAAATGAATGTATACATGAAAGGTGCTCCGGAGACAGTGGCCAGCTTCTGTAAAGCAGACACGGGTATTATTTGTTTACACATAAGCAGCAAATATCTAAATATGCAACACCAGGGTTCCAGACCTTTCTTTTAATTACTAATGCACAAGGCAGACTTTAAAAGGAAACTAAAAAAAAAAAAGGGCGCCTCCATAGTGTAAAAAACGAATGTTAATGATAAAAATGTACAGCTTGTATTGTACTTACAAAAAGTCGGTAGTAAAAAGGCATATAGGTAACGACAGGAATCGAATCTTCTAGCAGAGGAAGTCTGAAACGGATGTGTAGTGTCAGCGTCCACTGCCCCTGTGTGTCAGCGTCCACTGCCCCTGTGTGGCAGTGGACGCTGACACTACACATCCGTTTCAGACTTCCTCTGCTAGAAGATTCGATTCCTGCCGTTACCTATATGCCTTTTTACTACCGATGTTTTGTAAGTACAATACAAGCTGTACATTTTTATCATTAAAATTTGTTTTTTACACTATGGAGGCGCCCTTTTTCGTTTCTTGTTTCCCAGATTGGTGGTCTGTCTGACCTGAGAGAGCTGCCTCTTCAGTGTTTTCGTTCCTGTTGCAATTCGCCGGTTTACAGGTGGAGGCACCGGTATTTCTCCTGTTACTTTTAAAAGGAAACTATTTAAAGTGGAACATAACTTTGAAAATGTTTTTCAGGGTATTTGCTTTCCCTCTACATAATGCTGTAAAACTTAGGTTTGCACTTGTTTCAACTCCCAGGAAGAATGAAAGAAAGCACAAAGGAATATACATATACAATATTTAGTAAAGAAGATTATTCAAATGTAGCTAAAGGCAAAATATAAAAATTACATACTCTATATTATACAGACCATCACTAGCATCTATCCATTCTTTTGTACTAACTAAAAATTGACCAAACTGTTCATAAATAGGGGCAGTTACAGTTACATGAATTTCCTGTTCAAGCTGCTAAATGGTCAGAACACATGGCAGGATCATCAGGTGTTTATAAAACATTTACTCACACAAATATAACAATTATTGCACAACTACATGCATACAACAAAAATGGGGCTACTTATACAACTATAATATCCATATTTACATACACTTTAAATGCATATTTTTTTACAGATATTAAGAGTGACTTGGTAACAGCTTTCTGTAGTCCCTTTGTACATGCTACACATTTCTCCCTTTTTATTAGCATTAGCAATAGATAACATTAAGATTTGTATACTTTGTGATTATTGTCATTTACATAATATTTATTTTACTATTTCTTTAAAGTCCCAAATGGATTTATAGATGAACTGGAATGCTACACATTTCAAGGCTTGCGAGTGATTGGAGTGGCTTTTAAGAATCTCAAAAACATAAGTCAGAATGAATTAGACAATTTAGAAAGGTATATATCCATCACCCATATCCATTACCCAAATATACAAATACAGGCAGTCCCTGGGTTACGAACAAGATAGGTTCTGTAGGTTTGTTCTTAAATTGAAATTGTATGTTAGTTGAAACAGGTAAATATTTTAAGTGTAACTCCAGTTTGGATAGCATAGGGAAGGGTTAACCCCCTTGTTTTGCTGTGTGTGACTCTGTTCAGAAGATTTCACCTCACTCTCTGTCCCTGTGACAATTGGATTTTGAAAATTTTGGGTTGTTGTGGAAACAAGGATTGGTGATATAGCTTCAGTGGAGACACCTTTTTCCCATGAAAACTCTTACAGGAGTGAATTTCCCTTCCTAGGGGTAAATTTCCTCTCACTTCCTGTTGTCTCAAGGACAGGAAGTGAGATTAAATAATTCTAATGAGGATACAGACAGCAGTAAAAACCTCACAGTAACCCGGAAGAAGAGGCAGGCACCCCCTGTCTGCACTTCTAACAAGAGCCAACTTCCTGTAATGTACGTACAGTACTACAAACCAGACCCAAAAAGGCGGGCACTCGTCGTCAGCATGAGCACAGTAGCATTACAACTACTGGGATGCTGCACAGTAAACTTTGACTGCAGCCTTGGACCCCCTGCTGCACAGTAATAGCCCCTATTAGCCCCGAGTCGTATGTAAGACGGATGTGTGTAACTCGGGGACTGCCTGTATGTGATTTACAGCATTGATAGTTTCCATCGAGCTGGTCTATAATTATTAAACGCAGCAAATCTTTAAAACAAGTAAGCAATAAAATTTAAAGTCAGAATTGGATCCTGATAAAGTGTTTTATCTGTAGTCATTATAAAACATTAGAGGAAAATGTTATTCTACCCGAATCCATTAATATTTTTGCACAGATCTAGTTCAAATCCAGATTTGTAGATGAGGGCTTTTTTATTGTAAATATTTTTCATTGTAAATAGCAACTCATTGTAAATAGCAACACATCTATAAGTATTAATGAACACAACAATGAACTGCTAAACTTTGGTGGCTCCAATGTTGAAGTTCTTTAATGCATCTTCTCACTAAGGGTTCCTGTGCAGTATATTACAAGCACAAAATATTGAATTTGACTGAAATAGCCAGAATCCTTTTTATTTTCTTCAAAAAAAAAGAAAAGAATTCAGAGGCAGAAGGTGGCTTCCATGAACTGTCTGATATGGAAGTCAGTGGTAATAGCACCACTCACTGAATCTTGGTGCTGAACCTGCTGAAACATTCAATAGTACATTAAATAATGCCAAATAAGTCTTCAAGTAGGTTATATTATCATGTGCGGCAGTTCAATTATTTTTTTTACTTTGCTTATAATCCTGAAGGGAAGAAGTTGAATGTGACATGGAATTTCTTGGTTTGCTAATTCTGGAAAATCGTCTTAAACCTGAAACCAAGCCAGTTCTGGAGGTCCTGAACACAGCCAACATCAGGACTGTAATGATTACAGGTGGGGTAACAGGAACAAAAACACTGATATACTATTGCACTTTTCATTAAAGGTGAATTGGCTTTCAAAATATGTTGCGCTAGCTATCATTGAGGTTTGAACATCTGCTACAGAAGTTAGGGTCTGTTTAGCTAATCTAACAATTGTTCTGTCCCTAGATGCTGACAATGGTGTTAAAAATGGAGGCTGCTTAGTGGGACTCAACATTTGTAATGTATTTTTGAGTTGGGCATTTCAGAGACATTGGCATGTAAGAAATATATTATGTGACTCAGCAGTGAAAGTGCACCTGGTAGACCAGACAACTTCACTCATTTGTTTTGTCATATTTGTTTGACATTTATATAGTTGACCTATATTCCACTGTACTTCAAATAATATACCGTATATTACTATTTTCTTTAGTCTCTGTGGCAAAGGAGATTTTAACTTGAAGGACAAGTTTAATCAAAATGATCCTTTGTGATACTCATAAATATAGATGAGCGATTCGGTTGGTTTTCCAGGAAGCGGTGATTTGCTTAACTGATAAATTATATACATTTGTGAACTGGTAGAGTGTGAAATGACTGCCCTAATAAAGAAGTACTGTACTTTCTTATCTGTAATGCACCTAATACAAAAGTATTGGCCTCAGATGTCAATGGAGGTAAGGTTTCTCATCCTATAACCGCTTTAGCATTAAAAATATCATCCCTAATGGATCCTACCGAGTTACTGGAGCTTTGGGGGGTGCTGTGACTTCTGCCACATTGTATAATGGATCCCACCGGGTGACTGGAGCTTTGGAGATGTTGTGAATTTTGCCACATTACCTATTGAACTTTTAACTGTTCTCAAACATACTTCACAGCTCTGTGCTTTTCACCCAGTTTGATTAAAGTGGGGTGTGTTAGATCTATTTTACATGTGTTACCATGCACCTCTATTGTCAAGAACTTTACTGGATACCACAGCAGAGATTTAAAAGGAGGACATACCACACTAAAAAGCATGTAAGTAAATGTAATCTAAAACAATCAACAGTTTTACTAGGAGTTTCTACAACCTCAAAAAAAAAGAGCTTGCAGAGACTTCCTGAGGAGTCTGTTCCAGAACCTATTTACCTATTTGGTAATAAATAAATGTCTTACACAGCATACCATAACATCTTTCTTGTATTTAGGTGACAACATACAAACAGCAACAACGGTTGCGAAAAAATGTGGCATGATTCCTGATGGTAGCAAAGTAATCCTGGTGGAAGCTTGTGAACCTAAGGGCTGTTCTCCAGCATCTCTCACCTGGAAACTTTTGGAGTATCCCATGGATAAAAAAAACACAAATGTAAATCTCTTAGTAATTTTTATTTCAGTAATGTCATTTATAATTCTTATATACTATGAACTTTACATTTACATATATTACTTTACCGTTCACATATATTGTAAACAAATTTAAAGGAGATTTCCTGTTCTAAAACATCTTAGCTTATTTTGGGCCCTCTATGTACTAATATACACGGGTCTCCACCTCAATTAATTCTTTGTAACTAAAACGACTTCTCAAGACAGTTTATATTGCGCTATACATCCCTTATCCTTTATTATCAGTTAAATATGTACAGCCTTTTTTAAAACTGGGTAAACAAATACTTAATTCCATCATTTGATTTGACTGTAAACAGGATATGTCCATAAATATTGAAAACATTCTGGATGGTAAAGTGCAGAACAATGATTATCACTTTTCATTGAGTGGAAAGTCCTATGAAAACCTGGAAAAATACTTTTATGACTTGTTACCAAAGGTATGTAAGTATGAAAAGACAGTGTATAGAAAAAAAAACAGTTGTTAACATATTGCTAGGGGTTATTAAAGTAGAGTAAAGTAAACCTGCTTTGGCTAAAAGTGATCTCAAAAGTAACAATACTGCTGATGCCGTTGGAGCCTAAACCAAAAGTGTAGAAAAGACCTTGACTTCTCTCCAGAACAATTAAGCCTCACCCCCTGACAATCAACTGTGAAATGTATCTACTGTCCAATGATGCGCTGGCATTTGATAGCTGAATTAAAGGGGGCGGACCTTAGCACAGAGGGGGCGAGTAATAATCTTGACTTGGAGTAACAGTTAGGTTCTGCATATATCCCGAGCCTTGGAACAAAGGGCTCCCCAGGGGCACATGTATCAATTAGAACAGTGCTCCCCAACCTTTTTATCGCCGGTCAACGTTTGATAATTTTACTGCGGCCCGCTGGGCCGCGGGAAAACTGGCGTTCAGGTGGCGAAGCAGTTTTGAAGGTTTCATTGCCTCATTAGAGAGATGGTTGCCGCAAACTATGCAGAGCGGTTTTGGTGTGTGGGAATCACCTGTCCCGATAAATCCATATTTCAAGTAGGACTCATGGTATTGTCTGTTAAAAGTTACATGTTTCTTTGATGTTGAAGGCCTTTCTTCTGTCTCTTCACTGGGCCTTTTCTTTTTCCCAAGGAAACTTTCTAACGACGTCTGTTTCGTACTCATTTTTGCTAATTTGTGGGTTAAATTTGAGCAAACACAATATACACGTACACCAAGCACTGTTAAACATGAGAAAGTACCGGTGAACAGAGAGAAGAGCGATACACACCTTCTCTTTACCAAAGCTACAACGCCACTGCCGCTTGCAGCCGCTCAGCTCCAGACGTCACCTAAAACCGCCCCGATATCACGATATTTTGCGCATGCACGGTATTGGTGCGGCTTTAGGTGACGTCTCTCAGCTCCCGGTTAACCTCTCGTCCTGGAAAGTCGGACAAACCCGAGAGAAATACACCACAGTAAATAAAATGGGAATAATTTAATGTTCCTTGGGCGGCCCGGTATCATTTGATCCACGGACCGGTACCGGTCCCGCGGCCCGGGGGTTGGGGGCCACTGAATTAGAACACTGAAACAGTACTTATAGGGACAGCAAGGTGCTTGCGGTGCAGCATAATTGTTCCCTTGGGTACTCTATAGGTTTATAGCAGGTTTACCTGAAGCAGAGCCTTCTAAAAATTAATGGACAGTGTCCTCACCGAGCTCCAATTTGCTATTGCTGAGTGCCATAAAAACAGTCAGCAGTAAAAGTTAGGTGCTACTTTCAAACATTAAATTTTTTAGTCTCCTTTCACTGTGATTTAAGTCACCTTTATTGATTCATCTTGAATGTGAATGATAGTGAATAAAATATTTTATGTGCAGGAAAGCGTGAAGGCTGACATTGCTGACCACACATTTTAATATACTATTGCCCTGGCTATCAGGCTGATCCAAAAGGTTTATTACTTTCTGTTGATGATCGGAACATTTGACATTTATTATTTCCATGCTTGTTCCAGGTCAGAAAGTATTTATGCCAAAGACAACCAAGCAACTAATATTTTTAGAAGGGGGAAGCAATATAAGCCTCTATATGTATCTTAGTACAGTTTTCCCTTTAAGAAAACTTTACCTGTAAAACAAAAATTATTGTAGGTATAAAGTGCAAGGGTCCACAGGTTTCTGCTAACCTGACTTGACTCTTGGTATCTGTTTCTGATCATGATTATGCTTGTTTTCTTATATTTCGCATGGTTACTTCTGGTTGCAGCTTGGCTTGGATCCCAGTTGCTGCTTTCTGCTTGTCATCTACCTTACCCTTCTGTCTGTTTCCTCATTTGTGGCTCCTTGCCGCCAGCTCCTACCACTGGTTTGTGTACAATTCTACCTTTGGTTTTAGCTTTTCATTTACTTGCTGTTAAGATGTTGCAAAGAAGTAAAGGTTTGATTAGACCTCTTTGTGAATAGAACTCCATGCTTTCAGAAATTAACCAAATATGTTTGTTTTTACTTAATGTGTTACACTGGCACTTGTAAATCATTATAAATAGTAAATTTTTCCCCAAAAAAAGAACCCTGCAAACATTTTAATATTATGATATTATATTGGTGTTGCACAGATACTGATGAATGGAACAGTATATGCACGAATGTCTCCAGGTCAGAAGTCAACAATTATAGATGAATTTCGGAAACTTGAGTAAGTGTAATTTTTTTACCATAAAAAGAAAAACAGAACTTCTGTCTAATTTAGGAGGCCATTTATCATTCAGTAATTAGAACCATCACATTTAACAGCAAACCAATCCTTCAGAAGTCAAACCCAATGGTTTGGGTCAGGCAAAGTGCAGGTTATGGCCCTGGACTGAAAATAGAAAAGCTGAAGAAGGTTATGCTGTTATTGAGGGCTAACCAGCTGCTCATAACTGGGAACACTGTAATAGAATTGCAACCTCCATTTATGTACTGCTACAGCCGTATACCAGGTGCAGCAAATAGACAGGATTCTCTTCTATGTTTGAAGCTACTCCAGCCTGCTGTGAGAAAAGATCAGCATAGGGATATCTGAGCATCCATTCAAAGACTGTTAGCAATAAGAAACTATCATGGTTATTTAGAAAAGGGTGAAGTTTGGAGAAGGCAATCTAGGACAACATAGCTGAACTGGAAAAAATCTCCAATTCAGCTGACTTTCTGGTTTGGCTATCTTGGCCTAGATTGTTCCCGTCTCCTGCCTTCTCCAAACTTTTCACCCTTTTGTGAATAATCCTTTTAATGTCCATTACAACTTTTGGATATACTGGCCACTCTTTTTCCTTTCCTTTTTTATAAATGAAATCCAAAGGACTGAACTGTTTTTATACTGCATTTTAAAGGAAGGGTAATTGCCTGGGGATATATTTACATCTCATTTGGGGGCACAAGGTAAAAATATCAAGGCTCAGCTAACTGGAAGCACTGCCAAAAGAGACAACCAGAATAATTATATATATATATACATATACAGTATATCACACATATACTGTATATTACAATCCAAAGTCCACAATCACAATTGACAGCATTGCAAGGAATTATATTCACACTGACTGTGGTGTTTTCAAAAGCTGAGTTGTCCCAACTCTTACAAACAAAAAGTCTGTGAATTTTTAGATCCATGGAGAATGGACTTATTAATCAAAGCAAAGTTTCAAAGCACTATAGGCTGACAATATTGGACCAGACCCCTAGGTCTGTTGAGCACAGGTAATGATTAGTAAACTGTGCTAACACATAAAAACCATAGCTTTAGTTTACTGAACTGAACTTTGCTGTATTAAAAAGTTAAATCTTAGTCAAATGAGCTACATGTGGACCAGTGCTATATTAGTATCCATGCTGCTCTATGCATGCAGGGAAGATGTCCACCTACAGACACTGATCTGGTTTTGTTAACCATATTGTTGTGAAAATTGAAAAATAAGAATAATGTCTTTGAGGGCCCATTCACATCATGTGTGTTGGGTTGCATTTGGCTGTGCTGCTTAACGCAGGCCCAATGCAATAACAAGCCAAAATCCATTGCTTCCAATAGGCTCAGTTCACGCCAATGCTTTGGGTTGGTGTACGCTTTGTGAAAGTGAAACATTCTGTATTTAAAAGCAGCAAGGTGCAACATTATAACGCATCACAGCGTTCTAAAACACATGTTAAAGAAAAAAAATTTTTTTTTGCTACAGCTGTGGATGAAAAAAATCTGCACATCAATACAATGCATAAAAAATGCACATCAATGCAATGCATTACAAAAAAAAAGTATGTCATTGCACGTCAACTCAAGTGCATTAATGAACATCAAAGTGAGCTAAATGCAATGGATGTGGTGTGAATCTAGCCTCACACGAAGTCTGTTGCATCAATGTATTTAGTTTACGTTGACATGCATTAAATGCACTTGAGTTAATGTGCATTGAAATCCATTTTGATTTGATGCACTGTGGTTTTTGTTCACAGCAGGAGCCAAAATACATCATTTGCTTTTCCTTAATGCGCGTTGCATTGCACTGCGATGCAGTGCAGCATATTCCATTTTTACAAACTGCACTTGCAATGGATCTTGAGTTGACATGCCTGAACATTCATTTTCTTTTTAAGCATTGCTTTTTGTTGCATTGCTGTGCATTTTTTAAACATGTTGCATAGATTTGCGACTGCATTCACAACAACTCCAGTTTGCGGTGGTGTGCATTTTTTGTAATGCATTGTACAGATGTGTGGGGTTTTTTTTTCACAGTAGGAGCCAAAATACCATATTTTTCTTTATTTCATGTGTGTTGCAGCACATTGAGCTTTGTGTTCCATTTTCGCCCACTGCACATCAACCCACCGCATTGCTGTCAACTGAGCCTGTAAAATATATGGATTTAAGCTAGTTATTGCATTGGGTCAGTATTGAGAAATGCAGCCCAACACACATGTTGGAAATGGTCCCTGAATCCAGCCAAAATATGATGAGACAAAGCAAAACAAAAACAAAACTTGTACATGTTTTCTGGAGCTGCCCTTTCTTACCATGCTATCTTGAGCGCATACCACAAATACTTGATGATAAATTTGACCCTCATGTTGATTCTGAGCTTATGATCATGTGATGACAGTTTTTTTTTTTACCTAGTTATTATGTGGGGATGTGTGGTGATGGAGCCAATGACTGTGCAGTAAGTAGCGATTTTATTTTTATGTCTTACAAATAAGATCAATCAGTACAGCATGTATGTGTCAGGTGTTTTTTTTGTTTGTTTGTAATTTTTTTCTTTCATTAAAAAAATTCATATTTTTTCCTAATTTTTTTACATATCAGTGCTACTGATCTCTTCCAATCTCTTTTAGTCTTTTCTTGTCCACGCACACACTCATTCCAGCATTGGCTGCACATCATTGCTTTGGACTGGCTACCTTATAGTGACAATAATGGAACATCAATGCCCAATGTTTGTCAGCAAAGCCACACAGTAACTCCACAGGGAGGCATGTAATAGAATGATGATGCAGTAGCACAATTGGGAGATACTTTGTAACAGGAAGTTCATGTACCAGGGCCTTCAAGGAAGGACCAGCGGATAATATTTTAAAGAAAGCAGCAGATCTAAAAACATTTGAAATTCGTTTGTGATATATTAGTAAATTAATTCATACCTATTTTAATGTATAAACAGATGCTAGAATGTGCTTTCCCATAAGCTCTCTAAGTGCAGTAGCAAGATACATATAGCAGAGTTCTATTTTAGTAGATCCAAATAGAGTTCAGTGAATAGAACAGAAAGTTATAGACAGTTGATCTGGTCATATTGGCAGCAGGCCAACTCCATCTACAGCTGGGAACAGGGAGCTTTGATTGGTAGCCTCTATATGTGAACCCCACTGTTGGGAGGTATGTAATAAATTCACAAAGAAATAGGCTTATTCACCCCAGTTGTGATGAATGCATTGAGCAGCATTGCCCAGTGCAGTCCCTACACAAGAATAAGACAATTGCCATATGTCCTTTGGCTTCAGTGTGCTGAAAGAATGTAGGACATGTTGCATTTTTTGCACCATATTCCGATGCATTGGAATGAATCACAATGCACTGCATCACATAAGATTACATAGAAGTTCTAAAAAAGAGCCAGCACTGCGACATGTTTTAAAGAAAGCATGGTATTGCAGCACACAGCAGCATGTGTGTTATGTACACAATAAAGCACATGTGCTGTTGTGAATAAGTGCAATTTCTACTATGCAGTTTTATGATCAAACCAGGGGGACACCTGAGGCCCTCTGTATTACCAGGTTAACCACTACCACTGTAAGCCATTCACAGCATGGGGTGGGCACTTTAAGAAAAGAAACCCTCCAAAAATGGTTAGCCCCTCTTATAATGTCAACCTGGTATTATACTGTATTGATACCATATGGTAAAGGATAACAGGGAACCATATACAATTTACTTGCCATTTGAAGGCAAGGCAACCCTGGGAAAAGTTAATGAGGTACCACAGAAACTACTGCATATGGGAGCAATGGAAGACATGTGGATGCAGTATTGTAAGATATAGAGACGTGAGATAAGGGCAAAGGGTGCCAGGAGTCATGGGTGGTACGCAGCCTTCAGACCCAGAGCCACAGACCATATGAAGGTGGGATCAGAAGCACCTCACTTCCCTTTTAAAAGAGTTAGAAATTAAAGTTTACAAATTACCAGGTGTATCAGCAATTGGACATTTTTTATCAGAAGGGCTATAGCTCAGGCTGGATTGCAAACATAAGTTGTGGATGTATAACTTTACCAATAACTTTTTTACAGGCTTTGAAAATGGCCAATGCAGGGATATCTTTATCTGAAGAAGAAGCATCTGTAGCTGCACCTTTCACCTCTCAAGTTACCAATATTGCCTGTGTTCCAGAATTACTCAAGTAAATAACGCTTTTTCCCAAAAATCAATAAAGGAAAAAAATAAAATGCAATAAATATTTTTTTTAAACAACATTGTACACTGCTAAATTAGGCTACTACAATGAATCCAAGGAAGCAGATGATGTAGATTAAAAGTATCAAAATATCTTCACTTGAACCAAGGAAGTTCACAAAAAACTACAGCTGAACAATAATAATCTAACACATATTTTAGTATTAAACAAAAATAATGAAATATGGCCAATGACCCATAACACGAGACAGGCCAAAACATGTTGACAGACTTCAAGAGAAACACAAAACAGTTAAAGAGATTAAATAAATATAGATTTACTGTTTTACCTGGTAAAATATCTGTAAACTTGTACAGCTATTATCGTAGTGCACACATCTCTGCTAGTCAGGATGATCACTCCGCTTCTTTCTAGTTTAGCCGTATTGCTTCCTCGGTCAGTTCCCTGTTCATTGGACTGATGTGATGATGCTAAGAGAGGAAAGGTAATAGCAGAGGAAAAAGGTGATCATCCAATCACTATTTTTTTCTCTATGATTAAGAGCATGCTGGAAAGGTTTATGCACATTTTCCTTTCCTGCTTCCACAAAAATAAATGTGCATTCTTGGGCATTTCAAACCTGCACGTATATGTCAAAATTTGTTTTGACAGAGCACAATTTCAGTTGAGTTATATGCACATATCCATTATTCCTTTAGGATGGATTCACAATATTGTGGTCTGTTGTGGTGTGCTATGTTGCATTGTAAGACAGTTCATTATGAATGAACTGTCAACTCAATACAGGGGACCAGAAGACCCACATGACCCCTTCCTGAGGATGCTGTGCACCACAGCAATGAAAGGCATAGCAGTCTACCTTGTACAGGCATTGCCATCAGTTGTGGTAACATGGTAAAACGTGTATATTACCACATATTACCGCAATGCAATGGTATGAATAGGCCCTCAATGTCCATGGCAGCTTTAATAAGGAAATAGATTATTGTTCTAAGATATAAGTAATGGATTAATATCAGTCAACAATATGAGGGCAAATTACAGGTTACAAGAAGTCAAAACATCTCACATTTCTGCAGGTCTATGTTATGCAAGCTATTAGGTAATTGTTTTCATTTGAAAATGGATAATGAATAAACAAGCCTGGGCATACCTTTGTTCTGTCTGAGGTAGCTATTTACTGATTGCAATCCTATTTGTATTATATTACAGTTGAGTCTCTCATGTCGCTTTGCTAATGGCTGAGGAAGTTTGCAGACCTGGGAAATGTGACTAGAAACCTTTTCTTAAAATGCATCTGTGCCTAGGCATTGAAGCATCTACATAATCTTAACAACTATTAAAAAAACTTTACAGCAAACCAGCACTGGTCTCTCTAGCTGCTTCCAGTTTGTCCTAAACTCTAGGGAAGAGATAAAAAGACCCACAAATTAAAACCCCATTCCAAGATAGCTTAGAAGCTGTCCTCTCAAATTGAAGGATATAAAGAAAAGAGAAAATATGTAAAACATGTACAAAAGTCTGTAAAGCTCTAAGAAAGTATTCTGATTCATGATAGCTGGAAGCACCAGGTCACTTCTCCAAAGTGGAAAAGCTTGCAAATTTTCTTAGAGGTGAAAGTGGGACAGTCTCTTTGGTTGGTTCAAAGTACCTCTTGAGAAGTCTTTTTTTAGAAGGCTGTACATCCAGGTGTAGCTGGAAATGACATTTCTGCACAATGAGTGGTGTAGATAACTCCAATGAGTTCTTAGACCTTTCACTGTTAGCAGGGTTCCTGATGTAATTCTTCAACTGTCAGCTTGATGGAAGAATCTTAGATGAATTGCAGCCTAGGTCAAGACTCTGTTGCAGGAATTTAGAACCAAAGTCTTTGGAGCGCTCATCTAGATTACCTAATTAAAGAAACATTACTGTTTTGCAGATGCCAGTTGTGATTTTTATAAAAGGACTAGTCTGAGGTTGCAGCTAGTCCTCTGTGGGCATCTCTATGGCATCTTCTGAAGTAGATTTAGAGTCACTTGGCACACCGTCCATGAAATGAGGAATATCATTATTGTTGTTTTGCAGCATCTAAGTAGATTTCTGGTCACCTGTTGAAGGTTCAGACCTGCTGCTGTCAGTAGTAGTTTAGCAGGTTGTCTCACTGGCACTGCTGTAAGATGATTCTATGCTGTAGATTTGATAATTTATGAGAAAGATTCTTGTCAGAGTTGGCATCTCCTATGAGTACCTGTAGTATGGGTTTTGAGAGGTAAAAGGGGTGCCTTGAATTATTTTAACAGCAGCTGAATGTAAACAGCAGGCAGTCACCTGGTATAGGTTGACCCCTACTGAGTCTCTCCCCCCATTCATCTGCCTGTGGCAAGATTACGCAGCTGGCAGCTGAATGTACACACCTGCCCACTGCCTGCTGAGAAAGTTCTTCTTCGGGTCCGCTCCTCTGCTGATTGACAGCAGGTAGTGGGTGGGTGCAATAGCCAGCCTGCTATTGGCTATTAAAATTTGAACTAACCTATAGCGGGTTGGCTATTGCACCCGCCCACTGCCTGCGGTTAATCAGCAGAGGAGTGGACCTGAGAGAGAAAGTTCTGGCTTTTGCTTCCCCTGCTATCTGCTGTTTTTTTGTACTCTGACAGCGGGTGCAGGCCGCTGTCACAATACCCAAACATAGCCGGCAGCTCATTGGCTGCCAGGCTCTGTTCCTACACAGATTTTCTGACTGGCTTCTTTGATCACTTGATTGAGGGATGCTGGCCAGGCAGTGGCACCCACTGTGCGAATTGCAGCTGGTTCCTCAAGAACTGGCTGAAATTTGCACAGTGTTTATTATCGGTAATATCGGTAAATGTAACCGATACTGATAATTAAAACATTTTGGAATATCGGCTCTGATTATCAGTAGGTCCAATGATCGGTCAACCCCTAGACTTTACTAATACCTTGTTTTTGTGTATAATTTGTAAATATATATGTACATGGGGGCAGCCATATTTGCCTATTACATATGTAAGCTCTGGTTTCTTTTTTCTCGATTTTTCATGAACGTTGTACTTTGTGTGCAGCTGAATGGCTGATATCTCAAACATTATTAAGCAGGCAGGTTAAGTGTTTACAGTAAGAAACATAGCTCCTTCTAGTCGCTAATCTACTAACTGTATATTTACACCAATAAAAATATGGAAGAGCCGCTAAATAGAATGTGAAAGTCCAATAAAAAATTACTTTAAACACAGAAACATTGACTAAAAATACGTGCTCACTAAACACTATACATAACCTTACTGTACATAAAGTTGCTGAGCGATTCTAGTGGAGCCATTTACCATTATTAGTTCATGTTTCTGACCTTCCACAAAACCATATTGGTCATAGTATCACTTTGCCATGGTATCATTGTTGCAGATGGACTCTCCAGATATTTAACTTTATAAAGGCTGGAATGCCCTTGTGAAACATAGATACAGCCATTGCTAACCTTCTCTAAGAATGCTGATTTCCATCAGTGAGTGCTGAAACTAGAGGATTAGCTTAACAGACAGGAAGCAGTTTCAGAAGGATGTCCACAGGATGGCAGCCCCTTATTCATCTCATGCTGGGTTTATAGCCAGAAATATAAGATAACCAAGGAGTATACAATTAATTCTTCCAACAGAAATGTTAGCTATTGGTAAAAATGACATAAAGTGTACTGTATGTATGGCCAATGTGTTTTATTTTTTCCGTTTTGGATAGAGTGACCCCTTGTCAGTTTTATTTCCTGTGTTGTCTATGTCCTATATTAGAGATTTCCTTTCACTCTCTTTGCCAGAGGCAGACAGGAAGTGAAAGGAGATCTCTATAAAAAGAGCCAAATCCCCCTCTTAGACAGTTGCCACCGCAACAATTGCCCCATTGGAAGATTTGCCCTTACCACTTGCTCTGGTAGTAACTCTAAAACCTTGGATTTTCTATCACTATCTGTGTCTCAGACAATGGTCATTAGGAGAAACAGAGCTTGAATCTACCCAGAGACATAGTGAGGAATGAAAACTTTACAGAGGTTTTAACACTCTGTCCAAAACTCCAAAAAAGGTTTTTTACTATAAAGTATGAATGTAAGGTAATAAGAAAACAAAAATGATCACATTTGTCCAACAGTGTCTTGTATAATTGTTTTTTTGCAGGGAAGGGCGGGCAGCTCTTGTCACATCATTCTGTATGTTTAAATACATGGCTATGTTTGGGTTAATTGAATATACCAACACACTGCTGCTCTATTGGGTAAGATGAATGTTATTATTTTTACTTAAAAAATTTGAGGATTCTTTTTGGATTCTAAAAATTGTTTACGTTTTGGATAGGGATGAAGAGGCAAATATACTGTCTGATTTTTATTTTGTCTGTGATTCCACTGGGGAGATTTTTGCTTTCTTCCTATCTCTGTGCCGCCTGCACAAAAAACAGGGCGATCAGTTGTCATTGGAACAGGAAGTTACAGACAGCAATAAAGACATTGTCAGAGTTTCTAACCCTTCCCCTATTCTACTACAGATGTGTACTAGTGTGTCCCCTCCTTGGGGAGATTTCTTATCACTTCTTGACCTTAAATTAAGTAATCCCTAATAAGGACACTCAAAGCAGTAAAAACTGTTAATCATAAGCAAAAGGTTGGTCAATATATTTATCTATGTGCCGAAGTATGTCCTTTTCCATCAAAGATAAAGGAGAACAATATACATTTCTTATGCATTAGTGACATAACAACATGTACTTATTTTCAAAGATACACATATATAATAAAGATGACAAATTCCTGTATGTATACATACATACTATATACTTATATACTATAAGGTTATGAGATAAGGCATAACATTAAAGCAGAACTCCAGGGAAAAATATTCTTAACCCTTGCAGTGGTGCCACCCCTGCACTGCAAGGGTTAAGTGTTAGTCACCTTGCTTGCTTTTAGACCGGTTCCTTGAGCCTCCTCCCCCCTCTGCTCCAGCAATCTAAGGTCCCCTGAGTCATCATATTCTATACACTGTGTATAGGATGTGAGGATACTGAGTGACATACCATCACTGCAGCAGAGGAGGAGAGAAGAGGAAGGGATTGATATAAGAGCAAGCCAGCTTGGAGGATTAGGTGAGTATTTGTTTTCCTGAACCTAGACAAAAACAAGCACTTAACCCTTGCAGTGCGGGGGTAGCCCCACTCCAAGGGTTAAGACTATTTTGCTCTGGAGTTCTGCTTTAATGTTGTTCACTTTATTCAAGTCTCCTGGTGCCTTAATCAATTAGGCTCTAATTAATAAAATAGAATATATGTAGGCTGCCATGACTGAACTCCTTCTGAAAATGCTAATTGTATGAAAACTCTATATGGATGTACTTAACTTCATTAGTTTGAGTCACTGACTATGGCTCAATAACTGTTGAAGGCTTTTGATTGGCATAACAACACAGCAACTAGCATTCTGAGGAGTCAGCAATTGGATCCTCCATATTCTCTCAGTACAGGTTTCCTTTAAATTGGAATTAACCCATAAAAGTGAGCAAAAAACTGTGGGCCCCCAGGAGCATTTTGCCAAAATGTACAAGCATGCAAAGCATATTTGCACATTTTAATTTTTAGCACATTTTAATTAGAGAAGACTTACCTAGCAAAGTGACCCCCTCTCCTGCTGCAATGTCCACCTTCTCATTCATTGCTGGGGCTTCCATCTTGTTCCGGTCTTCTTCCAGGTTCAAAGTCTTCAGCCACCTTGATTGGTCAGGCTGGATGATTGATCAGGCTTGGCTTGACTGGATGATGTAACTCTCACTCATGCACATAGGAGTTACTTCGGCCTACAACAGAATCATGCTGAGAATGTATACAGAGCTGTGTATGCATGATTCAATGTACACTTACAGAAATATAAATGCTAACAGGCACGGAGTATAAACTATGTCAGAAGGGATATACACATTCTCTTACATCATAAAAAGTCTACCGGTCAGCATTTTTTGGCTAGAGTAACTAGTTCCAATTTAAGATGCATGAGAAGGTTGACATAACAGCTGACTTAATTAAAAAAAAAGTAAAATGGTGAAATGACTAAAAACATACAGACATGCAAAACAGGAAAAAGCCCCAAAATGATTAGCTGACTGAATAAATGAACGTGGCAAGGGAGCACTCCTTGTTTTCCTAATACTCACAACTCCATAAACATGGATGCTCAGCATTTTTGCTTTACAAAGGTTGTCTCTGAAAAGAGTACAAACAAGTGTTGCACATTCATGTTGTAACATCCATTTTTTTTAAAGGGTCCATGGTAACTTGAGCATACACAGCCTTAGTCAAGTACATTTTAGCTAGAACCCGATACGTTTGGTGGAAAAAGAAATTTCAGACAGTTGGGAAGCCTTACAAATCTGTGATATTTGTGCCTCATAATAACAATAATATTTAAAAATATGAATACATGTGTCAAGGTGATGCAAGACAATTATGAGGAGATCACACTTCCACTTTTTGTATTTCAGCAACGAAACATCTTTGGAAACAATCAATGGCTCATTCATGACTTTGCTATTGTGTTTGCAATATTTTTTACAAGTAGGTATAAATGAATACTTATTGCTATGATTTGTATATGGTGCTTTATAGTACAAGTTTTTTTATATCTTTATTTACTTTGAGCATAAGAGATATAGTATAGTTACCAAAATAACCCAAAACAACAGTCAAGTTTTAAAAAACAGAAATGACAGTGGCTGAGTCGAACTCCTTCTGCACTTCGGGTCAGCCGAACATGCTGAGCATGTTCGGCTGATCCGAAGCCACACGAAGCAAGCCGATGTACGGCTGTTTTCAGCCGATGTACGGCTGAAATCAGCCGTACCAGCCTGAAGTGAATAGCCGAACAGTGTTCGGCTCACTTCACTTCTGATCGGTCATTCACTCGGCTGCCCTCGGCAGCTTTGTGAATAGACCCCAGTTAAGTCCAACATATATAAGGTTAGTTTCTGAATGCAGACATTGCTGAGATATATAAAATGCTGTCAGGGTTATTCACAAAAGGGTGAAGAGTTTGGAGAAGACAGGGGAAGTGAACAATCTAGGACAACATAGCTGAACTGGAAAAATTCTCCAATTCAGCTCACTTTCCAGTTCAGCTATGTTGTCCTAGATTGGTCACTTCTCCTGTCTTCTCAAAACTCTTCACCCTTTTGTGAATAACCCTGTGTTACATAGTAGTTATGGCTGAAAAAAGAAAGAGGCCCACCAAGTTCAACCTTTTGGGGTGTCATTACACCTTATTCCCACTCTGTTTTACATATTTAGTGATGTACTAAGGGGGAGCGATGAGGATGAGCGGTGGGCAACATATTTAAAGATGATTTCCAGGAAATGTAATAATTAACTCTTGCAGTGGGGCTACTCCCGCACACAATTGTTCATTTTGGTCTAGAGGCTAAAATTGAGAAGATATACTTACCCAATCCTGCGGTGGGCGGCACTCACCTCTCTCCCCTTCCACGCTGGCGGTGGAATGTCTCTCGGCATCCACACATCTAATGCAGCTGCATTAGGCGTGATGATGACATGGGTCCTTAGAACGCCAGAACCTAGGGAAAAATAGGCTGCAGGGACCAGTCTAGCAGCCTAGTGGGACCAATGATCAGGTGAATATATATATATATATATATATATATATGTTTTTAGCCCCTAGACCAAAATGAGCAGTTAACCCTTGCAGTACAGGGTTAGCCCCACTGCAGAGGTTACCTTTTACATTTCCTGGAGTTCTTCTTCAATCCACTGGGTTAGTTTATTTTACACATAAATAACCATATTCCACCCACACACAATGCCATTAACATAGTTGAAAAAGGGCTAGTTGGTCTGTCAAAATATTTTTAGACTGTGGGAGAAAACTGCAACACCGGTATAGCACAAGGGCAAACAGAAAAGTCCCAAAGGGCATATTTATAAAGCAGTACATCTGACATTCAGCAAACATTCTCTTTTCAGAAGAATTTTCCATGTCCATGTGTTTTAAATGGCAGTGATTTATTTGTCACCAAAGAATGTTTAGGGTCACTGCTTTATTTAGGGCCCTGTTGGGCTTTTTACCTAGGACTTCAGTGCCACAAGACAACAATGCTAACTGTACACCATTGTGGTTCACCTTTAGTTACTTACTAGCCTCAAGAGATTGGTTAAGGATGGTTCAAGAATATATTTGGTACTAAAGTCAGTGACACATATCACTTGTGTAAATTTAAGGAAAACCCTGAAAACATTACTGCTGGGGGCAGTTGAGAAACACTGTGGTACACCACCATGTTGACCAGTATTAAATTATGTTTGCAAAATTACCATCTTTAAATAAATATTATAAACGTGCACTGGTTTGGATGCTTTGCAGATTCCAGCATCGCTATAAATATTAAATTGGGAAGTCAATGTCAGATATTTGTCTTTTTAACATATTCTGTGGTCTTTTGCAGTGAGTTCTACCCCTGCATACCCGACACTGGCAAAGTACAGACCACCAGGACAGCTGATTTCTCCAGCTATGATCTTTTCAGTCATTTTCAATGTGCTCTATGGCATAGCTTCACAGACATATGCATTTCTTATAGTTCAGCAGCAACCGTGGTACAACAGAGATGACATATACAGGTAAATGTGTCATAACATCTCAGATCCTGCTTTTTAAAGCTTGCTCAACTGCAGACAAACACAACCTAAAGTACAAGTTCACCCTCTGTAATACAGCATGCTGTGTTAAATATTCACCTTTCAAGCGTACTTTGCTGTGTGGACCTGCCCAATACCGCTAGCCCACCTCCACAGTGCACATGTGCAACACGGCCCATTTATTCCTATCAGTGAGCTGTAATACATTGGATGGGTAGATTGGATGAGGTGGAGAGCTGTCATTCTCCACTCCTCTCCACCTTGTCCAATGAGAGAAAGCCTTGTATTCAATGAAAAAAATAAAATAAAAGTGAATGGTGGCGGTGCCACGTGAGTGACTCCCTGTGCCTAGTGTGCAGAGGGGAAGCTGCTGGAACCGCAATTGTAAGACATCAGCTATCATATGCAGTATGGACTAATGCAGAGATCAGATATGAATACTTATATTCAGTCAAGCTGGGCCAATGTAATTATCATTAAAAGATCATTCCTGGAGTTCAGCTTTAAATAAACCGGAATTAAAGAGAAGCCTACCAAATGAAAAAAAGACAACAAAATAAAATTGTGAGATGTTTTAAGTCTTCCACATTCTATCAAATTGGATTGGGCTTAAACTAAAAAAAATAAAATAGCACAATCCTGTAGAAATAATGTTATGTTATGTGCAGGAGAAAGTGCAGAGCCATCTAGTAGATGTCATCAGACTGCCAGTTTTAATCACTTATGGATCCATTAAGCCCCATTCACACCAGATACATTGCGATCCGATGTGCTCCAGTTTTTAATGGATGTCAATGGGTGTCAACAGAAGGTAACCCAAAAAATGAATGGGTGTGAATGGGACCAGTTCACACTGAACTGTTCCGTTGTGTTGTGTTGTGTTGCACTGCGCTGAAAAAAAACTAGAGCATCTACTTTTTTCGGCACAATAAATTGGAACTTGTCAAGAACGGAAGTAAACAGAATGGAACAGAAGTAAAAAAAAAACACAGGAGTTTGCCCACTCAGAACATGTTACTTAAAATAAAGGTTGGCAACAAATTAAAAACAAAAAACAAAAAAACAACAGAACGGAAGTCAACGGAGGTGAAATTTCAAGTAAATGAACCTCCATTGATTTATGTTTTAGGTCCAAATTTGGCCTTAGTCTACCTTGGTCTAAAGATATCTGCCTTGAATTTCAGACCTAGGTTGTTACAACATAGGACTTTAACATGGTATATCTAAATACCAGTAAAGGTGCATATAATTGAGGGACATTTAGTAAAAATCCACTTAGCATAGTTTGGCAGAGTTACACTATAATAAAACTGATGCCTCGTGCACAGAAATAAGCAACATTTTAGATGCTCTCCATACAACCCATATTTAAAAAAAAAAGAAACATTTCCTATAAGAAACATGAAGGTTGCCATTGCTGATTTTTCATTCTGAAAAATGCTAGATACCTAGCTAGATGCTGAACCTCTTGCATGATTATTTAGGCTTTTATAGGTACACCGGCGCACTGATGGCGTCTGCAAAAATAAATTCTCACGGTCCTCCAATGCACACAGACATACTGTACATGTACAGGATATAGAATGCATATGTGGAGCTTACTAATAATTGTTTGCTATAGAGTGCATGTTTTGTTGTACAATTGACTAAGCAGTGACATGTAAGATAAAAAGAGATCTCGTCAAATGCTTTTTGCTTTAACTAATGGATTTTCAATGCACACCTCATGAAGGAACACAACTGTCTGAGATGTGCACTGATTTCATTGAAGGAGCTAGTAAAAAAATAAAATAGTCTGCATAACAGATGAAGGAGGATGGTAACGACAGCCACCCTTTTCCTCCTAATGAGATCCTTTCATCAACCTAAAACATTTGGTAAGACGATTCCCTAGCACAGCCCCCTTCCTCCTGCCATGTCATAGCCTTTCATTTTCTAGGAGTGTCTAATTACTGTGTGTGTTGTCAGCGTCTCCGCCCCTCCTATCTCCTCTTTATATAACCATTTATTTAGTATCCAGGGAAGAGTAAAGATGAAAACTATAGTGTGACTTGAGTGAAAGCAGGTCACACTGGGTCTGCTGACATCTCATCCGAGATGGCAGCACCCGACAGTAGTTGTAGGGTTTTGCATGTTTAAAAACAGGGAGCATTTTAATGGAAAATAACATGCATCAAATGAGTTAAATGTGCATACAAGCTTATGGAAAGATTGGGGTATCTGTACAGCTTTTCTGCATGTGCTAATAAAGTGGTTTAACTTCCTTGTCTCCTAGTGCCTGTCATCCTGGAAATGAAAGTTCGAATAGGAACCTTACCTATGTGTTAATTTATGAAAGAAAAAAAATTAACTATGAAAGCTTTGAGGGTACAACGCTGTGGCTGATAACATCTGTGCACCTGGTGATCCTATCTTTTGTCTTCTCTAAGGGGAGGCCCTTCCGACAGCCATTATATACCAACTGTAAGTATATAAAATCTGCATTCACTTTTAAAGAAGACCTAAACCCAGGAAGCCCAGGAGATATATACTTTCATACCTTTGCTTACTGAGCCCTATCTAAAAATAATACTAATGGCCCTACTATACTTATCTGTCAGCAGGAGGAGGCTTCCTCTAGATGTCATGGCCAAAGTTGATATAAAGTTTATCTCAGAGACTTTTTAATAATTACTTCCATAGTGTAAGTCATCTTGGCCTGCACATCTATAATCGCAAACTGTAACCAACTACATTTTATGCCCGCCACTAGCAGACTGGCACTAAGCTGCACTTAAGGCAACTGTATTTGTTATGATCTCACAAAGACCTATTTTACCAAAATAGGAATATTAAAATAAAAGTTAGTTAAGCAGCATCTATTGACTTTTTTATATTTGTTTTTAGATATACTGTACAAGTAAAATAGATCTGGTTGATGTCAATAATATAATCGATGGTGGTAACCTTGTTTCTGTGTATACTGTAATTTTGTAATTATATATGTACATACGGGCAGCCTTGAAAATGCAGGTTTCGCTTCCTGCTTCGCAGTGCAACAAAGTGGCTTACTGCTCCTTCTCATAAGTCAACTGACTCTTTGAAAGCACTGTTGGTAAAGGGACCCTGTGACCTTGCCTATGCAAGGCAAAGTGACAATGTCTCTGCACAGGGCATCCCTCTACCCCTTTTATACTTACCTTACCATAATGGAAAATAATACCTGGCACTTCTGGGTATCGGGCAGCATGTGACCTACTCTCCTTTGATGATACCTGGGTCTTTCATCCAATTGCTAGGTCCTGCTCTTAGTCACGGACACAACTAATTTCAGTGCGGGTTGCAAGGAAGGGCAGGTAAGGAAAGTATAAAGGGGGTAGGTGGATGCCCTTTACAGAGACACTGCCACTTTTCCCTCCAAGGGCAAGATAACAGGGTATCTTAAGCAGCTAGGCATATTTATTGTAGTAACTAATCTACCATAACTCTAATACACAAACCTCTACATGTAATAATATATTAAAATAAAGGAAGAGGAAGCTTGTAAAATTGTGAAAGCCATATTCAACATTACTATTAGGCTAAACACTACAATAATAACTCAACAATAATAAGATTTGTTTACACTTGCTATCAAAACTTTTTCATGAAGTCCATTAAGGAGCCCATGCATTTTAAAAAAAAATGAGTTATACTGCAGAAGGTTACAGGAGTTTGTAACACTGGCAAAGAAAATAAGTTGAAGCTAGCGCTCATATAACACCCCCCCCCAACCCCCAGCTGTCATGAAGTACAAAAATCATGTTTTCCATATGGTTCATTGAGGGACATGGGAGTTTAGACATTTTGAAAAGCCAGGACATCCAAAAGCAGTTTAACTGAGGGGTGGGTAACAGCCAGTGAGAGGTCCACAGGTGTGGAGTCCATAGCATAAATGAGTAATCAATGCCTAAATGAACGCTAGATGAAAAAAAAGGTCATACAAAAACAGGGAACTGCCACAACCAAGAGGAAATTCGAAGAAATGATGCAGCAAAAAGACAAAGAATAATCAACCTTGCACCAAAAAACAGGTGGAAGAACACACCACCCAATTGAAAGAAAACCATACCAACAACTAATGTTGTCAACAAGAAGAATTTTTACTGGGCCAAATCCAAGGAAAAAAGAAATCCTTAACAAGAAATTTGGACATAGATATCATGTCCAACAGAAAGGCCAGTCAGTCAAGAGCAGGAGGCTTAAGCCTAGCATTCCTAACCTTTGACTTGAGAGAAAGGAAGTTTGCAAAGATATACCATGTCCAAAGGAAAAGCCAGCCAGTCAAAACTAAGCATCCATTCATAGATAGCGTATGCTTTTTCTGCATGGTTTGTAAGTGCGGAAGACTGCACAGCACAAAAACGCTAAAATCTTTATTACTGGACGGATTCCGCTCGTTTTTGGCTATTACTATAGCCGCAAATGTGTAGAATCCGCCCCTGAAATTGCGCTTGCGCTACTTTGCTGGATGCAGTTTTGTACTGCTACGTCCCCACAATAGTCTGAACAAGGCACATTAAAATGCATTGTTTTTATGTTTAGAGCGGTAGAAAACCGCTCATATGTGAATGGAGCATTAAAGGCTCAGACCTAACACCCCTACCTAAAGACTTTCAAAAAGTCTAGAAAGCACCACAATGCAAAGCCCAGTGCTTGAAGGTTATATTCCAGGCTAGCCCCATAAACATTCAATCTAGCGGGTTCCAGGTATGGTCTCCAAAGCAGTTACTGAGGCTACACTAAACTGTATAGCTGCTGTGCAGAGTCTAGCTCGAGCAGCGTTAGGGAAATCTTTAAAACAATTAACAGTGTATAGAGAATCATGATTGAAATCAGCAAAGAAAAAGGCTAGCCAAAATTATAGATTTTTTTAAATAGCAAAGTTGAAGAAAAGGTATCTAAGCTGTTAGGGCACTGGCAAAAATGTGAACCATGGCTGTTAAAGGTGGGGTTATACAGGGCTGGCTTTTATGTTTTTTTGTTTGTTTGTTTTTTGGCCAGTGTTCCAACCTCCTGTAGACAGCTGTAAGTCCTGACTTTGTCAGAATTTCTAAGTTCCTGCGTCCCTCAATGGACGATAAAGAAATTATATTTTCCCTTTAAAACATATTAGGGTTGTTCACTCCATAGCTACGAAATGTCTTTCTAAAGCTCCATTTACACTTTGGCCCACTTTTACGCAACTCATTAAAAAGTGTGACGCACTTGCGTTGCCATTACTTGTTAATGGCACTGCCAAACGCGGCCAGTAAAACGGGCATTTTTGCCTGTTCATCAAATGCGCACAAACGAATAGTAAAAAAAATGCATAAAACTCTAAGCTGAAAATGTTGCATGAGTTTCTTTGCCATGTTTGTCACGCGTGCGGCAGCCCATTGAACTGAATAGGGGTGCGTGAAGTGTGAAAGGAGCCTAAAACTTGGACTGAGTGGCAATTTTACCACATTTGCCTTCATACTGCTTCAAGAGTAGGAAAGCAATATAAGCATCTTCATTTTTTAAATATTAAATACTTTATATAATCTGTAAAAAAGGGAGAATTGTGGTGGAAAGAATGACAGAAAATGTAGGCCAAAAAAGGTGCAATTATGATCTCTGCTATAAGCTACCAGCTTGAAAAAATGTATATTCTGTTTTCCAGATTTTTTTGTGGCCATATTGATTATAGAATTTACATTTACCATATTCTTCATATTTGCTGACTTCAAAGACATATACATTATTTTGGAGGTAAGCATTTAATTACAAATTAAATAAATACAAAAATTGGCATAAGAATGATTGACCTAAAGTGACACTAAACACAGGAGTTACATTTTAAAAATACATTGAAGTACCTTAACTATTAACAAAAATGTATCTTATTTGTGTATCACTCTGTACACAGCTGTAGAGTGAAATCCTCTCTGAATTGTGCTGATACTGTCCTTCATTCTGGAAGGTGGCTAATTTTGTTCACCATGGTCCCTGTGTGTGTTGTAAGGTAGCCACCACTCCAAGCTCACTCAGTTGATATTCTAAAGGCAAATAGGCTGTTCACTTTGCAAGAGAATCTGCACTTTGCAGGGGAAGTGTAAAAAACTCGGGGGAAAATATTATTAACCCTTGCAGTTGGGCTACCCACCCAGTGCTCCTTCTGGTATAGGGAGGACAATAACAAAGTTATAGTCACCTGATCAACGGAGCTGGCTTGTTTTTAGCTAGGTCCCTGGAGCCTTTTTCCCTCTTCACTGCAGCAGTCTAAGGTACTGTAAATCATCATGTCTAATGCACTGTTTACAGGACGTGAGAATGCCGGAGGTAAATACCATGGCTGATCCCCTGGCATAATTTTTTTTGGTTTTCTACCAGGACCAAAACAAGCACTTAACCCTTGCAGTGCAGAGGTAGCCCCATAAAAAGGGTTAATAATCATTTTCCCCCAGAGTTCTGCTTTAATTAATGAGGTGAGGCTGTGTGGATTTCTGTCACCCAGTCATGTGCAGAAAAAAATGCCGTGCCTTTATTCAACCTCATCCACTATGTAACTATGTAACCTATAGAAACAAATCAATATGTCATTAATCTTGTGTTAGCATTCTAAATTCTTGTTGAATACTGCAAATTACTGCCCTATACATACTGAATAAGCCTGAGAAATGCCGTGGCATTTAGCATACGCTGTTGGAAAGGTGGGCAATTTGTTTTTTGAAGGCTTTAGTTTATCTTGAAAAATATGATGTAATTCTTATATAGGGAGCATTTTATACCCTGTCCCCTTCATGCATTTTCTGTAGCAGTGCATAGGATGTGAGATGTCATTTAGACAAGGTTCTGAGTAGATAAATGATAGAGAGAATTAAAGAAAAATCTGGAAGGAGAAAAAAACATAAGGATGAATTGCTTCTGTTAAGTGTACTTAAACTGTAATAACGAGTAGATAATCTTTTGATTTTCCTTTTTTCTTTTCTTCAGCTTGTCTGTACACCCACCAGCTGGAGAAAACATATCATAGTCCAAGTGGCTATAAATCTGGTAGTAACATTCACAGTTGAGGTCAGTATTATTGTGAATGGGGATATTTTATGTGGTGTTTGGTATTTAAAAAATCATTTTCACAATGTATCTCTAAATGTTTCATTAGCATGTACAGGTATCTCTTATTTATTTGACACATAAATTTAAATTACAAGAGCAAACCTGTATTGGTATCAATCAAGAGTATTATGCTATTTATTAGGGCTGCGAAAATTAACGATTAATTCCTTGATTAATCGTACAATGTTTTTGATCAGTACTCAACTCTCCGCCGGCTTCCGGGTCTTCCGGGAGTTCCGTCGGAGATCTGGTGACGTCACCGGACTCCTCCCCCCTTCCCCAAGTGGCTCCGTCGGCTAATGAAGGGAAGGGGGGAGGAGTCCGGTGATGTCGATGTCCGTGACGGCTAACGAAGGGAAGGGGGGAGGAGTCCGGTGACGTTGATGTCCGAGAGGAGGAAATCAAGAAGCAGGTCTTATTGACTGAAGAGGCATATGTTCACAATCCCAACCCCACCACACAGTCTGCTTGGGGGCCTATTGTGCATTGTTCCATATTATGGAGTAATGAAGCTTTGACTAATTTATACCAGCTTGCCATCTTCCAGGCATAAACAAGGCTTCTATTGATATTATAGACTTTCCTTACAGAGATGGAAGTTTTGAAATCTTTTCAATAGCTCAGAGTGGAATTCAAGCTTTATAAGTCTTTCTATCAATACCTGCAGATTTGTACCTTTTTTTTAAATTTCTTTGTGTGGCCCTGTCCCCATTAACATTGTTGCTTAGACACGAATTCTGTGCGTTATAATTAATCGAAATTAAACGATTAAATTTTTTTTCGATTAATCGAACACGAAAATTTTAATCAGTAACAGCCCTACTATATATAGAAAGGGTATTGTCTGGTTTGCCACCACCTCTAATGTCCATTTCTGTTTTCATCATTTTGTTTTTTATTAGTCTTTACTGACTTTAAACCATGCCTTCCAAACTTTCAACATTAGGCCCTCTTACATGGGCTGATCAGGAGAGGATCCATGCACAGATTCTCTCCTGATCACAGCAGTACGGAGCGTATGTCAACGCTGTGGCATCCATGTCCATACAGTTTTTTCCTCCATCTTGCGATGGACGTAAAAACTGCAATTACCAGATCTCATATCCCTCTATGGGGAATCGGATGTAAACGGACATGTGTCCGATTACATTAGATTACCCCCGATCCGGCACGGTCAAGTCTGGCAAAACAGATCCCTGATCCGTCTACTTTTCCGGACCTGGCCGGAGTCAGGGGTAACCGTGTGTAAATTGACACCCTGCCCATAGTCCTACATTGGGCATCCTATCAGATCCACTTGAAAAACTGACAGGCAGACCCGATTGGACCTCCTGTGTGAAAGGGGCCTTACACGTCGACTGAGACTGTAGATCTCATTCCATGTAGATACTGCAGCTCTATATTTGTGGTTGTTATTAGGCAATATTGTTACATGTGTTTCTTTGATCAGTGTGCAAAGCTACAGAATGAAAACTTGCAAGTATAGGACTTCCATTTAAAAGGCAAAACATGTGAAAGTGTCGCCCCTAGCAAACTATGCTTCCTTCCAATTTACCTAGTTGTCTAGTTAGATCGATTGATTTCCATACTTCTAGTCCCCTCAGCTTCAAAAACATAACAGGTTATATTTGAAATTAAAACAGATCTGCCATTGGAAACTATAGAAATGTGTCTGTTTAAACTTCATATTGTGTTCTTTCATTTTAAAGTGAGCAACATGTTCAATTTTAGTGAAACATTTACATAACAACCATATATTAGTTTATATATATTAAAGCAACTCTGTCCATACTATAAAACTTGTACACCCGTGATATGACTGTAAACAGGAGCCCACCGGTACCTACTTGTACTTCTAAGTGTCTTTTTAAGCACCCCAGGTTCACAAAAACACAAGGCTTTCTTGTATGCAACTAAAACCTTGGCAGAGAAAGTTGACGGCAGGCTATCCTCTTCTATCTTATAGATTGGATCTTATTATTGGTTACAGGACCTGTCTATAGACTTTTCTGCTTAAAATCCACATTTGGATATTAGAATGTCCCAGGGCTCACAAGAATACATTGAGAGATACTGTATGTAGAGGCGTCAGCCATTGCCTGCTTTGCATTACTGTTGCATGTTTCAAAATGTTATTGTATGGGGAGGGCTTCTTAATATATGGGTGTAAACTTATTTTTGTGTGCATGATATGTCCTCAATACTGACTGATATAATATATACCAATGTATGTGAAAGCTTTCATATCTTAGGGTTCTATTACATATTTTTAGGAATTTATTCTGGATAATAGAGCCCTCTGGATGGCCTTGAAGAAATGTTTCAATATAAAGCCTGGGAGTAGGTATAAAATACTTCGGACAGTATTGGAAGAGGACACAGAATGGCCGCTGATTGGAAAAACAATATATGCTAAGAGCGAGATGATGATGACAAATGGACACAGTGAAGCCTACACTAATCCAGCTTTCCAGCAAGATGGTCTTTTCAAATTATAAAAAAATTAAGATAAATGGGAATATGAAAAGATTAAAGAGATTTTTTTCTGAAATCATTTATTGCAAACACATACTGCTGAGCCAATACTTTATTCAACTTTTATGTGAAAGAGGCTCAGTTTCTAAACAAGGTTTGGTCACTTTGGGCTTTATATCCCTTTTCTCAAAATTTCCTGAAAGGTCTTTGTGACAGCAAGACAAGAAATTGGAGAAATCATTATCAGCAGGACAGGAAGACACTGACAGTAAAATTAATCAGACAGAGGTCATAACCTTTCCCTATTTTACAGAAATAAGTGTTTTTTTTATTGTGTATTGAGGGACACAAGAGCCACAGGATTTCTTAAACAGTCAGGTTTTATTGCCACCAACCAGAGGTTGGCACACTAGCAAACAAAAAAAATCAGCTTCCCATATATTCCTGCCCCAAACTGCTATCTTTGCACTTTTATGCAAGGAGGTCCTAGGACAGCGGTTCTCAACCTGTGGGTCGCGACCCCGTCGGGGGTCGAATGATGATTTGCCAGGGGATGATTTGTCCTGACATCGGAGCCGCCGGCCGCCGTAAGTCAGAAAAAAAAAACAAATCACCATAGGAATGCATAGCTAGATTCCTATTGGCTATTTCACTTTGCAATAGCCAATAGCAAACTAGCCATTGCACCCGCCCACTGCTGCTGCCAATCAGCAGAGTGGGACCTGAAGTTCTCCATCAGGTCCCCTTCGCATCAGGTTGCGTCATCCCTAAATTTTACCGTTGGGGGTCACCACAACTTGGCAAATGTTACCAAGGGGTCCCGGCCCTAGAAAGGTTGAGAACCACTATCCTAGAAGGTTGTACACCTTTTATTTAGCTCTATTGAAAAAAAAGCCTAGCTATATTCTTCTGCTAATAATTTTCTTCTTTAATTTTTGCATTTTGTATCTTCAGTCAAGTTCCTCTGACTGAAGTAAATATTCCTAGTTCTAGTACTAGCATTCCTACTCCTAGTTCCTCAGCACAGGCTTCTGTCCTTTACAGGGGTAGGTTGGGTGATTCCTAGAATCATATATTTAATAACTGATTAGGCGGGTTGCAGTGTGACTACTCCACCCCTAATACACCTATGTCATTGGCTGGTAGGACTTTTTTCCCATCCCCCTGGTCCTGACGTCCTCATACACCAGCTTGTGATATGATATATACTCATCCCTGCCTTCCATTTTATACAGGGTTTTGTTGATCATCCCAACAAGTGATGGGCTCTGGCATCCATGCATTTTTCCTAAGGTAGGTAACATCCTTCTTATCATGGAGCTCCCTCTCCCTGAAGTCGAGGGTTAAGGGTATTCTACTGAAGCCTCCAGCTGTTGACTGAACGTAAGGATGAGACATTCTTCTCTTTCCGGGCTTACATTCCCTGCAGTCAAGGGTTAGGTGTTTTAGGCTTAAGCTAGGCTTAAGGGAAACATTTTTTTTCTTCTATTGGACAAGAGTGTCTTTTTGAACTCCTCCTTAGGGGTCTGTTTTGTCTCTGGGACTTAGCCCCTTAAACATTTCTTTTTTGTTGCCCACCTTAGCTGTTGGTCTACGTTTTCTTTGATTCAGGTAATTTATTGTACCACCAGTTTTTCCAGGTGGATAGTTGGTTGTCCTTCACTTTGCTTCAGGTAGCAGTTTTCCCTTTAGTGTGATGATCTGTCCTGGTCTGGAGCACCAGGTTGATCTGCAGTGCCCTACCCAAACAAATCACATTTGAGGGGAAGATGCAATGCAGGTATAAATCACTTTTCTAAACTAGTTCCTACCACCAGAGAGATTATATAAACTTTATTTCTAACATTTTTATCTTTCAAGTGCTCTACTGAGGACAAAACAAAGTTCTGATGTTATATACTCTCATTAGCATTGGTAAATTAGCTGTTGAAAACATACAAAAAATAGGGTGTCTTTGGAATTAGTTGTGTGATCTTTCGTTAATGTTATCTAGTAAGCCATAGCATCAGTATGGAAGGGGAAAGGATTAGTGCTATGATCAAACCAGACAGCTGACAAGGGTCAGGGTCAATGCTTCCAACCCAGATCTGAATTGTGGGGGACAACACAAAATTAAAGGCAAGCTATATCACATATACATCCAATTTAATACAAAATTCAGGAACTATACCAAGAGATCTCAACTAATATCTGTCTGACTTCTGGTTATTTAATTCAACCTCAATGGAAACATTTTTTATTTGGAGATATACCTCCAGCAGAGTTAACTATTTATACCTTTTGTTATATTTGCGAAGGTATTTGTACTTTGGAAGACAGTTTTAGATTTTTTTCAAACAAATTGCTGATTTGGCTGGTTCTACCTTATCTGTAGTATTTCTATTACATTTTTATCCACAAAATATTTCATGTTGGTACTGTTTTTCTTTGCACATTTTATTTAATAGAGATTAAGCTTCAGTAGAATTATATTGAATAAATACAATTCTGACATGTCTCAATATAGAGCAACCATATATTTTTTTCAAAAAAGCTCCTGATTTCTTCATTAAAAAATAGTCTTTAAATCCAGTTAGTTTGCAAGGCTGAATGATGTCATCAGTTTGCTGCAGATAGGAGGAATCATTTGGTGATTGTATTGCATTTGATGAAATGCAAGAATTACATGCTGAGTGAACAAAAAATAATGCTTGAAAAAAATGGCTAAGGAAAATGCCTGAACAAACATCTTACAGTGTTTTTTGGTGACTGTATTGCATTTGATGAAATGCAAGAATTAAATGCTAACTGGAAAAAAAAATAATGCTTGAAAAAACTACTAAGAAAAATAAGGAAAATGCCTGAACAACTGCTTTTGGAGACAAAAATCAAATTAAGACATTGCCAAGTATTGTGTACTGTGATCTCTGCGAGGCCATACACACATGTACATGTTACAATGGTACATTACTTAGTATGCATGTATTTAACAAGAAAAATATACAGTATATACAATCCTGTTCTGTTTTAAGAAAATTCCAGTACAATTGTGGTTTGGTTGACTAACAACATGGTAAAATCTGAGGATATTAATTAGAATCAAAGTAAGGCATATTATTGTTATATAAGTGGTTGGAATATTTGGCTTCATTTGAAAGACAACCTTATTTTATAAACGCACTTTTAGGTGTTATGATAGTATTTGTAAATTTTCAAATCTAATTTTTTTTAAATTGTATTGAACATTTTGTATACAATATCTAATTGGTAGCTTGGGCTCATCAATTCTTTTTGTACAGATTACTTTCACAATACAATAAACCAAAACTGCATTCTATTGACTCTCTTTCTTTGTGTTATCAATATCATATGTGTTGTGTTCATTTTTTTTTCTTACTCTAAATATGTGTAAAAATATTAGGAATAACTAAAATCAATTCACTTAAATTATTGAACCTATCTAACAAACTGGATTAATGCATCTGACAAATTGGGTTATAGGAGAATAGTGTAATTTCAAGGTAATTTTCTGTGTTTTTTTATTGTCCCACAGCAAACATCTAAAAATATCAAATCATCTGTAAGGTAAGGGGCACCAAATATCAGTACATTTAGGGGTTTATTTATAATGAAGATTTGGGATCGCTATCCACTCTGCTATACTTCACAGTACTACTACCTACATTTTGTAGCCCTTTCATAATTTGTAGGCTGTGGTATGAAGCCTGAGGTATCCTACATAATTCTCTATGCTTAATACAGTAGAGAGAACTCCGTTATTGGAGGAGAGGTGATCATGTGGCTTAGGCATTCACAGTATAGTCATACAAATGGCAGCCAAACTGCAACATGAAAGATTCCAAAATGCCTTTAATTGTTGGTAATACTGTCACACAAAAACAGCCATCAAATTCCAGGGGCAACAAAGCTTAGGAGAATGGAATGGGGAATTGAATGGAGTTTAAAAAAAGTTTAACCAAATGGATCTATATTTGATCATTTTAACACTGATTTCAGCAGAAGGAGACTATTAGAATTCCAATCTTAAAGAAGATTTAGCACTAGATCAAATATAGATCAATCTGTTCATATTTTCTGTTTTTTACAAGTCCCCAATCCATACTTTAAAGCCCCAATGAAGGGCGAATTATGCTGCCCCAAAATGCATTTATTTTGCATGTGATGGTATTATGAACATTTAAGACACTTTGATCTCTTTCATTTTGTGGTTGGGCACCTATTTGTATGTCTATACTTTGAGTTGCGTCTGGGTACCTATTGAGGGAGACCTGCATGTTTGAAAGCTGCTTTATCAATGCCAGTAAGCTCACGGAAATATTTCCTTGAGTTTGACCCATCCCAGCGCCTCTTTTATGTGCCTCTATTTTTTTTTTTTCTGATGTGACTTTGGCAAGCTTTATTTTTTCACTCAGTTCCATTAACAATAATAGTTCTGGCTTTGGGGTCCTGAAGCAGGCTAAGCACATTTATAAGGCATGCCACAGTGTTTTATAAATGTGTGGAGCTTTTTTTCTTTTTTAAAGTAGTACAACCATACTGCTGCTTTAAATAGACCCCTAGGTTTTCTTCAAAGCAGGCTTATTGAATAGACTTGACAATAGTAAACTTTATGTACTTCTGTGGGTTCTATGTTAATTACTTTTTCATCTGTCTTTAGACCCACTGTGGTAGGGGTGCCACAATTGTTTTACTTTTCTCATTCTCATTCTCCTCCGAGGTACCGAGTAGAATAGAAAATACGTGAAATACATTTTAAAAAGTTGAAAAATTGTTTTAAAATGTAGAAAAATAAAACATTTTTTTTTCCTTTTGTTGTACAAATATTTTTATTGAGGAAGAACAGAAATACATTCCATCCAGAAGGAATAAATACCAAAAGGTTCATGTGATAAAACATTACCTTACATCAATAGAACGGCTTAATGGTGAGCTATAGCGAGGCAGCTGTGTAAAAGCCAATGAAATGCAACAATACAAATAAAAGAGAATATGTGAACAGAAGAAAACATAACCCCCCCCCCCC